AGAAATACATATCATTTACTTCACGTACTTCACGATCATTCCGCAGGCGGACGGAACGAAAGCATTGTGCGCTATTTAATGTGCAACGTCATACATAGAAAAAAAAAAAACGAATCTTTCAGCTTCCCGTGCACGCTGCATGACGCACCGTGTCGGCTTTCGTCTCGTAATCTACGGTTTTATTACAGGATCATTACACGTTGGCGGTCATGCATATAGGATCGCCGTCTTGCGGTATGAATGCGGCGGTTCGTTCCTTCGTGAGGAATTGTATCTACCGAGGTGACAAGGTATAATATATATCAAGATATTCTGGATGTTCTGCATATTTCTTTATTGAGAAATACGCGGAATGACCTCTATTGATTTTATTCGGGTATTGATTTTATATAGGTATACGGTGTTTACGACGGAGTACTGGGCCTCATTGCTGGTAAATTGAAATTGATGGATTGGCCGTCCGTCACTGGCTGGGTCGCGGAGGGTGGCGCAAAACTAGGAACGAAGCGCGCACCGCCCCAGGAGGATCAGTTATCCCAAATCGCTCAAAAACTCAAGGAATTTGGAATACAGGCATTGCTTATCATAGGTGGATTTGAGGTAACGAATCCGTTGAACTTTGCGTATCGAATCTATTTGTATCAAGAAGATTAGAGAATGTTAAAAGCACATATTTTTGTTCTTAGGGTTATCAAACCGGCCTCACATTTTTCAAAGCGAGGGATAAATACGAGGAATTCAGAATTCCTATCGCTATGATCCCTGCGACTATTAGCAATAATGTACCAGGCACTGAATTTTCCTTGGGCTGTGATACAGCTCTAAATGAAATTACTGAGGTGAGTTTTGAGATATTTATAGGTTTAAACTTGAGAATTAGAGATTTAATAGCTTATCGTTTTATCTGTCAGATATGCGATCGCATTCGACAATCGGCGCAAGGTACTAAACGTCGAGTATTCATCATTGAGACGATGGGTGGTTTTTGCGGATATTTGGCGACAGTCGCTGGTCTAGCTGGCGGTGCTGACGCGGCGTATATATATGAAGAGAAATTTAACATTAAGGATCTGAATCATGATGTTATCGCGATGGCTGCAAAGATGTCGGAAGGCGTCGAGAGAGGTCTCATTATCAGAAACGAGAATGCTAATGAAAATTACAACACGGAGTTTATGTTCAGACTTTTCAGTGAGGAAGGAAAAGGATTATTCAGTTGTAGAAGGAACATACTTGGTACGCATTTTTCGCGTTTTCAAACATCTAATTATATTTGATCTTTAATTAATTAATTAAGAATTTTTATTATTACTAAATATTTTTTCTGTTTTAGGTCACATGCAGCAAGGTGGCTCGCCGACGCCTTTCGACCGTAACTTGGGAACAAAAATGGGCGCTAAGGCAGTGGAATGGTTTAGCGATCAACTGAGAAAATGCACTAGCCCCGATGGCAAGACGCTCACTATGGCAGCAGACAGTGCAGTAATGCTTGGTATTGTCAGACGCCAATACAGATATACACCATTCATGGAACTTATCGACGTTACTGATTTTGAGTAGGCATCCCATTGCACTTTAAACGACCTTTTATTAATTTTATCAACATGTGTGATGTAATACGATAAAAATTCCTAGACATCGCATTCCGACGTACCAATGGTGGATGAAACTGCGTCCGTTGCTGAAAGTATTAGCGAAGCACGAGTCGACATACGAAGAGGAAGGCCTGTATATAACCGTCGAAGAGATGGATGAGCAAAAGGATCCGCCCCTTGTATAAACCGTGAGATTAATCATTTAAACAGCGCCGCGGATAACGTAAAACGGGTGTCATTAATCGTCTGTAAAAATAGGCGCCGATGATCAAGATCACAGTATTGTATAAATTTATATCATGATAATTTTATTGTTCGACGAGAAACGAATCTTACACATGTTTATTGCATTGTGTGTATTTGAAAAAATTTAACTTTACATTTGTTATTATTTATTTAATCATGCAAATTTTGAATGTTTATAATTTGGACAAATAGGTGTGTTGAGAATATATGGGAAGGGAAAACGTTCTTCCATATTTTTTTTTTTAAATATCTTGTTTTGTACTTTGAACGTTTTCCAGCTCAGGTAAGAAATGGGTACAAATGTAGTACCTGAAGCACAAAGATATAAAATAATATCTTTACATATATCTACATCGGTGCAGCTTGCTGTTAAAGGCGATATCCTCCGTTGATAACGAGACACGGAACACGGTATTGTTACAGTATCTTATAGTGTTAAAATCGCATTGATGTATAGTATTAAAGATACATTTTAGGATTGATACATATGAAATTTAATGTAGTAAGATATACCAAGTTCAAGCGCTGAAAAAATAATGGGACAAAGAATCATTTTTATGCAGAAACACGTGACTAAATTGGAGACTAGCGACATGCAAAACTTATATTTGATATGCTACTCGAACCTAATACACACAATTTTGGCATATACGTTTAATTATCATGGATTCAGTAACGAGACAGTTAACGAAACGTTTATTAGCGTCATTAGCAAATAGTGATATTATTTGTGCATTTTTGATATTTTGCACGTAACAGATGCTTTATAAGCTAGACTAACAGCTTCTGTCTTTTATTTCGATACTCTTCGTTTACCTAATTCTTTAATATAACCAGTGGAACGCTTAGTCAATATAATTTCCAGTTGTAGCACGGATCGAGGAGTAAATCAGATTGAGAGAAATTATTAACAAGAGTTTCACAGGTTAAACATTCTGAACTGTATTTGTGGTCTACTAAGGCATAGGATTAAAACTTAATGCGGTATTTTACGTCGATGAAAGTGTTATTCTTCGGTTTAGCGTTACTCGAAGCTATAAAAAGCTATTGGAGAATATACCTGTCTACCTCAAAACATAATTTTGCAACAGTGAACGTACGACTCGCAGGAAAAGAATTGACCTGAGTCGCGCGTTAGTTGCACGTAACATAAAAAAAAATTTTGCTAAAATTTAAGGCTTGTGACCACAAAAGTATTTAGATTTAATTCTTTTTCTCTCTCCCTCTCTCTATCTGCTTGTCTAGTTCTCTCTCTATCTCTCTCTCTCTTTCTCTACTCGTGTATTTAACTTTTGAGAAAGTCATGCAAGTATTAATCTCATAATTGTTTTCGACATATAAGATAGCGTTCGTCGTGTTTTTATGAGATTTAAAAACCAGATGATATTCCTGGTGTTATTGAAAATTACGTCTTGTGCAAACTCTTATTCGTGTTCGTGTGAGTTTATTTAAGCGTCAAAATAAAATTACGGATTTGTGGTTTTAACAGAAGTAAAATCGAAAGATTTGTGTGTGAGATAACATATGTTACAATTTTTTTCAATGTAGTTAACACATTTAAGAATCGCGGTGCGCTTAACGATTTTCATTCGGACGCTGATTAGCATTCGCGATGTTACGTTTAGGATTGGCTTATTAGATAGCGATTAATGCATGATGCAAAAATGAAAATGGTAAAATTTCAAAAGTACAATGATGAGTGTATACATTACGGTTTACTCGAGCTAGAGTAGTAATGTAAGAAAAAAATATATATATAAATTATTCGTTTAAAATCATTTGTTTAAAATCGTTCCGAAGTGTATGATGTCTACTAGTATATGACGGATAGAGTAGCTCTTGTTGAAAAGCAACAGAATAATATCGCTAATGACACTTTTTTAAACGACCACATGGAAACTCGGTTCATGTAATATTATACCAAAAATTAAACCGTTGAACGAAATTAAAATGCGACGATATGAGAGATACAAAAGCTCTCATCAATTATTTGTCCA